TGCTGAATACCAGTGTTCATAAAGTTGTTGGTTCTGTGTGGTTACATTGGAAATCCCTGCCCTAAAGTAAAATAAACCCCAAACTGTGACTTGGAAGCAGCCATCATAATGTTATCATTTCAGAAAAATAGAAGTATTATGTGATAATATTATAGTTAAGAGTTGAAAATTCTTGAATATTTCTTCAATATCAAGCAATGCATCTCAAAATCTTACAGTCTCTATTCATGTTGTGTCTGATTTATTTATTTTTTTCCTTTTTTTGTGATCTTTTAAAAATATCTCAGAATGTAGTAAGTCTACAATGGTAAGTATATTGAAATAGCTATGTAACTATTCTCAATAGGACTACAAATATGTATGCTGCTATTGTTCTTTAAATGTGTGAGTTGTCAAATACAGGGCTTAATGTGACATTACTGAAGACTTTTCTGAAACAGTTGGATCTAAATTAGGGGAAGATACATGAGGCATTAGAATAAATTATTGAAAGAATTTGGGATTCACTCTGAATTTCTTGGTTCCCTACTCAGGTCTGAGAAGAAATTAACAAAACCCTGAATACTGGAATAGCCTATTTTCTATCAAAGGATTCCTGCAACAGAGGGATCAGCTTGTTAGAAGAGTCTGTGGGAGTGAGAGGAAAAACTAAGCAGTTGATAATGTCATCCTCACCACTCAGTAAGGAGTGAGCAGTGGTACTGATGGAGTCTGGCTTCTAATAGGTGGATTTTCTCGTTATCTGCTTTTGGTAATCTGTGATAAGTTCTGGGAGAAACTTTTCTGCTATTTTAGGTGTTCCAGGTCAAAAGAATTCTCTGAGGCCTAACAGGTTTTTAATTTGCCCTGTATCCTGCCTTTCAAAGGGAGCAGAATTAAGGTCTCTTCCCTCAACTTCCAGGCCTTCATTCACAAAACCTTGTGGACACTTACGAGCTTTTGTTTTTAAAGACAACTGTATCTTCACCAGGTTTAGTTGATGTGACCAGCAATTTCTTTAATCCTTAAGACTGAATGGACAAGTACACATGCTAGCTATGTTTGAGTGCTCTGGAGAACAACAAGAAATAGATACATATTTTAAATTAATTTGCATTTAAGCTGTTCTTTGCTGCCAGGCAGATTTCCTTTGTTTAATTAACATAAGCAGCTTTTCTTTTTTAATAACTTTTCCTCCAGTTACTTGTTACTTGGATTTTGTTCTATGAGCTTGCTAGTTTTAACACTAAATAAACAATAACAGTTCATGTTTAGTTTGGGTTTGATTAGAGCCCCTGTGTACTTAGGCCTTCCGTTGTGGTATAGCTTTTGTCTTTTCTTTCACTAAAGGCGGGTAGCAACAATAAATAACAATAAAAAGAAGTGTGGGTTGTTAGGGGTTTTTTTGGGGGGGTGTTTATTTGTTTGTTTGTTTGTTTTGTAGTGATGTTTTGTGTTGTTTGTGGGGGGTTTTCCAACTCAGTTGCACGGTCACATGAGATGGATCACCATGAATCATTCACATGTGTTGTGACAGTAGTTGGGTGTAGAACTTGTGCAGAAACAGAAAATCATCTCTTATGAAACCTAGAAATTGAACCCACCTAAGCTGATTAATTGAAGTAAGACACTCTTGGTAGCTTTAAGAAAAACGTTCTATGTGTGCTTTCTGATTGGAACACAATTAGAAACACCACCTAGCGAAGACTGTAACTGCTTGCTTTGAGACATGAGATGGAAGATAAACATTATTGCATTGTTCTGAAGACTTAAATGCTATCTCCTGGTATCTACGGAAGATTTAAGTTGCATCTTTTGGCAG